GAAATAAGTCTCGTTGAATCAGTAAAAGTGACCTTAATGCACGCACACAGGCCCAGGACACGACACAAGGAGACAGGTTCAAAAACTAAAGCTTTATTTATTTCAAGTAAACAGATACACAATACAAGTATTCAGAACACGGACTGCTAAACTAACATTAGAAAAGATTACCCACCTGTAATTTCTAATCCATTACAGTGTTGCAAAAAGCTATTTACAAAATATACAAAGATTCCCACCTGTAATTTCTGGACCACTGTGCTCAGTCTTCTATCTGAAAGACAAACCTAATATTCCAAAATTAAAAACCTCTCAGTAAATACTCAGTATTAAAACAAAGATCTTCAACCTGGTAGGAGGAGTTCAGACTTCATTACTGGAATGCTTAAGTATCACAACTCTTCATAGAAAAGCAAGGGAAGCAGTATTAGCGTGCTCGAAAGGGTGCACTTTTAGGAGAGAAGTTTAAAAATGAGTTGTTTTCTTCTTTCTTGATAGGAACCCATTGCCCATAAGGATTTCCTTTTCTGTCATCATCTCTTCCTGGGGAAATTGTTATCTCTTTAACAGAGAGACTTGCAGGTTTCTGAGCTACCGGCTTCGCCATTGTGTTCTGGTAAGAAATAAAGCTCCTATTTAGAATATATCATGCAGACAGCTATAGTCCAAGACATTTGTCTACAATGGAGGGTGCTTAAGAATTAATTATATAGTCTGTGGAAGCCCCTCTCAGCATGCCAAAGGCAAGACTTTTTGTCTGATGTCTAAGTCTAAATGATCAAAATTGTGCAGCTGGGCCAACAGATCACCACCCACAAAAATTCCTGTGTTTCATTTCCTGGACCACCATGGCTACAACACTACCAAAACACTGAGGGTATCAATTCTTAGCATGTGTAACCTTGGGTTCACTTGCAGAAAAGTAAACTGTTCAAGTAATTCTTTTTCTGTGTTTTTTGTTTTTTTTAACCCCCCCCCCCAATACATTAATGCACAAGCCACACCATTTCGTGAGTTGTCAGTTGCATCTGCATTTCATAAATTTTGTCAATCAAATCTAAACTAAAATTAGGGGTGGAACCACTACCCTGTATCTATCCTTTTGCTTAGCCAAGTTACATTTGGCACAAGTGTCCAAGCTCCCAGTCTTCTGAAGTCAAGATTGAATATCTTGTACATGTACTTACATTAGGGCTAAAAGAAATGCCTCTCTGTGCAGTAGCTCTCTCAGTTCCACTTCTAAGCAAGTCTTCCGTAAGTCTTCCAGATGGCTAAAGAAGAGTATACAAAGTTTATATGGAAGGGAGCCAGGTTTCTTCCCGATTAGATAACGTAGTAAGAAAGACTAGAACATGAATATTCTAATACAAGCTGGTCTTGACTATTTATATCATCAGTAGCTCTAAAGCCACAAAGTAAGGTGATGCACATTAAAAAAAAGTGGTGCTGAAGTTAACTTGGAAACATCTAGGTATTTTCAAAAGTACAACTGTATCAATTTACATGTGCAACCTCCATGCTCAAGTTTTAAACAGTAACCATCTTATTGCAAGCATAGATTTCACATACACTGAAATGAAATGTTATAGCAAGTTGTGTACAAGTTCTGTATATCAACCCTGCAGAGCTTTGGAGAAGGACAATAAACTTATCTGCAGGTGATGCAGGCCTCTTCTTCTGTACTCTCAATCTGGAATATATTGCATACATTATGACAGGGATTGCCTGTACCATTTGTTTAGTTGTCCACGAAACCCTCGTTAAGTTTAATTCAGAAATACTAAGTTTAAGATGCTGCTACACGACATATAGGTTTGCTCCCTACAGCGTATCAGATAATAGCCATTAACATACATACTGCAAAACTAAAATTTGTTTGTTAAAAATGAATTAACTTTCTTTCCCTCCCCTAAAAATGACAGCAGCTATAGCCCAAGTCCCTTGATTACCACCAGATTTTCTTCATCAATGTCTGCAGACCATATTCATGATTTCTATAAGACAGAAATAAAGTATGTAAAATGCAATGTGTGTTTGGGTACTGGATTTCTGGGAACAGTTTGTTGCATATGAAAAAGACTGACAGTCACCAGGCAGTAAGATTAACCTTTACAAAAGCCTATTAAAATCGATTTTGTGATTAAACCTTAGATTCAGCTCAACTGTATTTGCCAATTACATATAGGCTAGTGAGTCATTTCCTACTGGAGGAAAAACAACAATAAACAAACCCCACCCCAAGAAAACCCCCACAAGCAAACTAGGTTCTTTCTGCCTTCCTAACCTATCGTTAGTGGAAAAGCATATGTATTCATGGGGACCAACCACCTCCAAGACTCCAAGGTACTCTTCCAGCATCAGCAGGTCTACAAAGGGTTTGGGGTATTTTGATGAGTTAGCAATTTTCCCCCCCAAAAAATATTTCAAAGAGATAATTTCAAAGCAACTTAAGAACAAAAAAAATAAAAAAAGTTAAAACAGTTAGTCATGCAGGCTTGTCTCCAAGGAATTTTGGGAAAAGAGAAAGGAAGAAGTTTACCTTTGAAGTAGGAAACACTCCAGGTCATACTTACCTCAGTAGACTCTGCAGCATCTTCACTTTTCAGGTTTCCGCTGTTTGTCTCTTTGGAAGCAGTGTTGAGTCTCAAACTAGCTGGCAACACAATGTTATTTGTTCCCAGGACTTTGGCAGCATTAGCCTTGGCTATTTCCAGGAGTTCCCTCTTATCTGGGGGGGAAGTATACAGTAAGTCTGGTGCATCAACCAACACAGAACTAAACATGCACCTAAGCTAGAATGCAAAGTTAAGTTTAACATGCAAAAACCAGCAACCTCCCCCACAAAATCCCCGTAGCTTTCTGTGCTCATACAGACCTACACAGCAGCTCTATAACCTTCCAGTCATTCCCTTTCCACACAATAGAAACATATACTGGTATTTGCAGAAGCCTGTACCTTTCTCACTTAAATGGAGAGATCTACTACGGGATCTTGTTCGCGACCTGTTTCTCCAGTTTCTGTAAGCTTCAGGATATATGGTTCTCCCAAATCCATAGTAACGCCGGCCTCTTGATCGCGATCTGCTTCTAGAGTAAGATCTTCTGTAATACGATCTTCCACGAGACCACGACCGACTGCGCGATCTGTACCTTGGAGGAGAACGGCGGTATCTTCTGTAGTGCCTAGGATAGCACCTTCCCCTACATCGATAGCTACGTGATCTGGAACGGCTTCTGGAATACGATCTGGAGTACTGTCTGTACCTCCTGGAACCATTTCTTCTAGCTCTTGACCTTGACCTGGTTCTAGACCTGCTCCAACTCCTTGAAGAAGCTGAAGACGAAGAACTTGAACTGGACTGCGAACTGGAAGATGATCTGCTCGATGATCTTGATGTTGATCTGTCACGACTTCTTTTGGACCTCGAGTGGGAATTTCTCCCCTTTGGAGAGCTTAGAGTTAAATCATCCATGAAGTTTGTCATCTCATCAGTCTTATTAGCCTTCACCTTCTCAGTGCCAGTGCTTTTAGCAATGGTCTCTGCTTTGACTGATGTTCCACTCGAATGCCCAGTCTCAGTTCCTGTTTTGGAACAAAAAGCTCTTGTAAGATTTGGCGGCGGGGGATAAATCAAAACTTTACCTAGAGAAATGAACATCCCAGGTCAAGTTTTTCACAACTCCACCCCCTCTTTTATGCTGTGACCTTGACAGCTGTTTAATGAAAGTTTCTTTCCTTACGAGAGAAAAACCTCACTTAAAAGAATTTAAAGTTTCTAAATAAGCAGTTCAAGTCATGTATCAAATGAGGATTTTAAGCTGCTTTATAAATACTAGTTAGCAATACAGCTTTAAGCAAAATCAGCCACATTCACAGAATAAACCGAGCCATGGCCAAATTAAATTTTTAAATATCCCTTCAATATCAAGATGCATTCCTCCAAACACAGACCACGACAGCCAAGAGAATTTCATTTCAACAACTTATCCAGGGTTGGGTTTGCTGTAGTTTTCCATACCCAGATATAGAATTTTAAATGGAAAAAGCAATCTGTGAAGTCGTTTCCCTGTCCGGCTGTAGCGCAGCCCGCTTTCTTGTTTAGAAGCCACTTGCAAACACAGCAGCAAGCGTTGGACAGGGGCTACAATTCATCAAGGGGCTAGCGGCAGACAAGGTTCTTCGGGTGAGTTTGATATCTTTTATTAGACCAACTCAAATGGTCGGAGAATAGTTATTAAGCAAGCTTTCGGGTTCAAAAACCCTTCATCAGGCTAAGGAAGTTTCAGCAGTGGGTGCGAGCTCTTCCTGGATGGAAGGGGCTAGCGAAGTTCATAGCCCATTTCATCAGCATTTACATACGCATTTGAAAAGACGTTAGAAACAGTATGCTAATAACTAAAATGGCTGCCACTAGCAGCCATTTTAGCCGTGATCACCTGCTCGAGCCGCCCCCGCCTCTCCTTTCTCCCCCCCACCATGACCCGGGTGCGTTTTTCCCCTCAAGTAAACAAAACTGCCATGTTTTATCCTCTGAATTTGTGGTCCATGCTGGCTCAACGCAAGAACCGGCCAGTGCTGCAGCTCTTCCGCGCCAGGCCTGCAGCATCAAAGCAGGGACACTGCTGTCCCATCGCGAGAGAGGCGGCAGTCTCGCCCGCTTCCTGCTTACACGCGCCTGCCCACCCAAACACAAGCACGTTTCCGTGTCGAGAACGAACGCTGCCGCACACGCGCGCGCACGACCGAACCCCGCCGGGACGAGACGGGGGCA